ACCAGAGTATGAGTTATTATCTAGTCCAGGAATTCCACCTGTACGAAATTTTATAACAAACTGGCATCGCACTCAAAAAGCAAGTTTTTTTAGTCGGCGATAATTGGGCGTAAAATTTTGCTAAGAAACCCAAGACTTTCGGCGGTACTGATATTTTACCTATAAATTTTTATAAAATTTTTATAAAAAACATACGCTAGATGGACCATAGTTATGATCGTGGTACCAATGGTACGTTCACTTACTGTGCGTAGGCCGACACTGGTACCCAACATCATTTACTAATTTAGGCATTTCAATATGGCAAACACAAACGTATGGCTTTACTATCCAAATTTGATTGGCTATTTGCGGATTATCCTGGCTCTAATTGCATTTCAAGCAATGCCCTATTCACCTTGGCGTGCTATCCTGTGCTATATTGTAAGCGCAGCTTCAGATGCAGTGGATGGCTATCTGGCACGACTTTACAATCAATGTAAGAATCAACTGGGGAATGTAACAATATATTCCTTGTAATGATAGCACAAATAATAGTATTACAAAAAATTAAGATTAAGCTAAATAACTGCGAAGAAACGTTTCAATCTATTAAGTCGTATTCATCCTCCTATCAACATCACAACTGGATCTCGTACGTACAACGGTTATGGTAAATGCAGTTATGCCAAATGTAAGAGGAATTTAATATTTGAGACACAGGTGGAGTATTGGAGCATTTTTTAAAACAAGATGTAAGAATTATAGAAAGATATGAAGAAGAAAAGAAAGGTCGAATGAAGGTGTGGGGAGCTAAAAATCCAAAAATTTAAAAAACAAAGCAGGCAAATTCATGAAATGCAAGTTGCATCTCTCATCGCTGATGTCAAAATATTTGTCTAATATGCAAAAGAGTTATGAATTTCAATTCAGAAATGAAAATTCCAGAAACTGGAAATCATTTTCTGGATTTTGCACAGGAATTTATCTTTCTAGTTTTTTCTTAAAAAAATTTATGCTCGAATTTTTTAGCATCTCGATTTGGCGCTATGTTGGATATGTTAACAGATCGTTGTGCATTGTTGGCACTGGTTATGTATTGTGGACATCTGTATCCCAGTTACATGTTCTTTTTTCAAATGTCAGCAG